TTAGCAAATCGTTGACCATAATTTGGTTGTGAAAGGGTTACCATGGTTACACCCCGTCAAATAAATCTATTCGCTATAAATATAGGATCCTTGTATATTGTTTTATACGAAGATGTCATTTTACTAAATTTGAATAGGGAATTCTTAGAATATTATGTGTGGTCTTCTAGTAGACATCTTACCAGCAGACACAAGTTGCAAAAAACTAGTTGAAGTGAGTAAGTAAACAACTTACCGTCGTGCCAGCAGGGTCAGTCTCAGATATAAGTTCCAAAAAACTAGTTGTAGTGCAAGTAGGGTCAAAGTCATTTAGATTATGTATCAGCAACGGAACAGATGCCGTAACCATTCCACCGTCCATGTCAGTAGCTGTAACCCTCAGATCGATATTAACATTAGGTGCTATCGCTTCATAATCTACTTGATTAGCAACTCGTATTTCTCCAGTGGACGAGTCAATTTCGAAATAATCATTGACATTCCCATCTGAAATAAGGTGAAGCACATGGAAATGTATTATAGGCGTAAATTTCATCATGAATAGATGAGTAAATTATTTATTATTTCGAATTACTCACCGAATATAGCATACGTCAATGTGTCGCCAAAATCTCTGTCCTCGGCATATACTGTTGCACACAGGGTTCCAATTGGATCATTTTCGTTTATCTGTATGTGAATTAATAATGCGTAATATATTAAAGCGGGAAGTCGTCACCTGCGCATGCGTCAGATGGTCATAGCGTGTCATTCAAGTTGTTTACAAACAAGCGCCTATAGTTACTCATGAGCCTTTGCGTTTTTAGGATGTGTCGTTATCGTCGCTTGGGACTCAATTCCCACGCGTGCGCAGGTGACGACTCTCCGGCTTTAAATAGAAATATATTTACTTGCTAACAACAACAACAACAACAACAGCAATAACGATGGATGAAACTCGATATTGAAATTAAATGAACGTAAAATTGAAAAATGTGGTTAGTACCTGTATTGTGCCACCAGGGTC